CAAGGATAAAAAGAAATCTCAGTGAACCCAAGGGTAGGCAGGGAACACAATTTGCCAGAATCCAATTCACTGACTTATTAATTTCTAAATTTATTGGTTTGACTACTTAGTTGACCAGATTTTATTGTGATTGCATAAAGTAGTCATGGGAAAATTTATTTTTGTCTCTGCCCTAACTCTTTATTGCTAGAGTGGAAGACCGAGGTGTAGGTAAAGAAGTTTGAAGGGCATAAGATAGTATAATCACAAGAATGAATACATTTTTGGTGGATATATTCTTCTTATGAATATATTTTTATAAATATGGAAAATGTATTATTTATGAATAATTCTTGACAGTGATATAATTTAAGGATATTTATATTCAAATTATGTTGTTAGAATGTCAAATTATAGCCTTACACCTTTCCATTGCATGACTTCATGTTAGTGGTCAGAAATTAGGAGAATCAGTGGCATCCATGTGGAGGAAAAAAGAGTATATAGGGTTGGGAACAGCAGGGGTAGCCAACGGATGAGACATCTTACAAGAGGGGACTACTGAGAAATATCTTCTCCTAATTCAGGAGTAAAGGGCAGTAAGGAAAGCTGATGGAGTTCTAATCTCAATTAAAAAAAAAAAATTTCTGATCTAGGATGAGATATGTCTTATAGTAACATAGATCTTTAATTTTCTCCATAACTGGTGTGACCCAGAAAAAGGAGAAATGTGACTGTTTATCTTCTGCCTTTCATAGCCAAACTTCTCAAATGAATGTATGGCTTTAATACCTAGTTTGTGAAAAGGTTTTTACTTTGTCTTTACAACCTATAATGTAATAATTATTATATTATCCTCATCCAATCAGGACAGAAGGATTAAACAATTTGGCCCAAGTCGCAACGTTTTTAAAGGATGAAATCAGTATTTAAACTTGAACAATCTGATTCCAGAACTGCTTTGTCTCCATAGCATCAATTCCCTATCCCACTGCTCTACTAGTACTGCATTCTTACAGGTCACAAATAATCATCCAATCATTGATTGTTAATGACCCCTTCTTGACTTCACTATAATTTTCAATGAAGTCCATTTTGAAATTTTTTCTTCCCTCGATATCTGTAAATATTCTTGTTTTTCTTTTACCTTTTTTAACATCTCTGTCCCCTTTGTCTCCCTTTTTGGCTCTTCTGCATCTGCCCTTTATGGGTGCATTTATCTCAAGTCTTCAACCATGGGTACAAATGTGTGTGTGTGTGTGTGTGTGTGTGTGTGTGTGTGTGTGTGTGTATAGTACTTTAGTTTCCTTTAGGAATAAGGCCCTTAAAAGAAATTCTCTGAACAAAGACCTCAATACCCTAGGAGAACTATATATTGTAACCTCCAGTCCAGGCACAGCAACCCGTAGACTTTGATCAGCCTTGCTAGACTGGTGAAAGCTATGTACACAATTTAATTAGATCAGTTTCCCCAATTCTGCGTGATCCTGCATTGCTTTTCTCTGCCATTTCCACTGCTACTTCCTGGTTCCAGCATGCCTCATGCTTTAATTTAACGTTGCAGTGTAGTTTCCCTATATGACTTTCTTACTGCAGCTGAGTTGGTCTGTTGATAATTCCATAACACTCTCTGAACTGTCCAGGAGACTGTAGAGCTGAGAAGGTGTTCAGAAGTCAAACTATCTTATCATTGTTCTTGTAAGTTCTATGTTTTCTGGTTATAGTCCTTTCTCAGATAAATGCTTTGCAAATATTTTCTCTCAGCCTGTGTTGTGTCATTTCATTCTTTTAAGAGTATCTTTCAGAGAACAGGAAAAATTAATTTTATTAAGTTAAATTTATCAATATATTTACTTACGGACCATGCTTTTCCTTTGAATCAAAGAAATCTTTGCCTAACCCAAGGCCACAAGGATTTCTCCTATGTTTTCTTCTACACTTTTAATGGTTTTAGGTTTGACACTTAGTTTTATGATTCTCTTTGATGAAATTTGTATTTAATTAGTGGTATGGATCATATGGAATACACATAAAAATCCAGTTATTCAGTATCAAAGATTATCTCTTCTGCATCAAGTTTCCACAAAACCTTTGTCAAAAATCAAATGATGGGTGCCTGGGTGGCTCAGTTGTTAAGCGGCTGCCTTCAGCTCAGGTCATGATCTCAGGTCCTGGGATCGAGTCCCGCATCAGGCTCCCTGCTCAGCGGGGAGCCTGCTTCTCCCTCTGCCTGTCTCTCTCTGTCTCTTCTGAATAAATAAATAAAATCTTTAAAAAAAAATCAAAGGATCACTTGGTATGGATCTATTACTGAACTTTGAATTGTGTCCCAATAGTCCATTTATCTATCTTTGCCCCAAGACCACATTGTCTTTATACTACAGCTTTATAATAAGTATTGTAAATCAGGTAGTATTTATTCTTCTTTTTAATGTTTATTTTGGTTAGTCCAAATCCTTTGCACTTCTATATGAACTTTTTAGAATCAATTTGGCAATTTCTAAAAAAAAGAAAAAAATGTCTACCAGGATTTTCACTGGGATTGCTTTGATTCTATAAATTAGGTATGGGGAGAACTATCATCTTAACAACATTGATTCTTCTTATCATTGAACATGTTGTGTCTCTACATTTATTTAAGTGTTCCTTAATTTGCTGAAGCATTATTTTGTAGTTTTCAGTGTATGGTACTTGAACATCTTTTGCCAGATTTATTCTGAAGTACTTCATATTTTATTTTTAAAGATTTTATTTATTTGAGAGAGAGAGCATGATTTGGGGAGAAGGGGAGAGGGAAAGGAAGAGCAAGAAGCAGACTCCCTGCTGAGCAGGGAGCCCGACACAAGTCTCGATCCCAGGAACCCAAGATCATGACATGAGCCAAAGGCAGATATTTAACTGACTGAGCCACCCAGGTGCCCCTGAAGTACTTCATATTTTTTAATGCTCTTATAGTTGCAATCTTTTAAAAATTTCAACTACCTCTCAATAATTTTGCTAGCATACATAATCAATTGATTTTTGTATTTTGATATCATATTCTGTAACTTCATTAAACTCACTAGGTCTAGTAGGTATTTTTAGAGGTTTCAATATAGACAATCACATGATTTGCAAATAAGTACTTTTTCTCTTTCTTTCCAATTTAGATGAGATATTTATCTTCCAAAATGCACTGTCCAGAACTTTCAATACAATATTGAATGGAAGTGATGAGAGTGGACATCCTGTGTTGTCCCTGATTTTAGAAAGAAACCATTTAGTCTTTCACCATTAAGTATGTTAGCAGAAGAACTTTTGTAGATGACCTTTATCAGGTTGAGGAGGGGCCCTTCTCCTCATACTTTGCTGAGAATTCTTATCAGAAATGGATCTTGGATTTTGTCTAATTCTTTTCCTGTACTTATAGAAATGATCACATGATTTTTTCATTTTAGATTTTTTTTAAAGATTTTATTTATTTATTTGAGAGAGAGAGAGAGAGAAACAGCATGAGAGGGGAGAAAGTCAGAGGGAGAAGCAGGCTCCCCGCTGAGCCAGGAGCCCGATGCGGAACTCAATCCCAGGACTCCAGGATCATGACCTGAGCCGAAGGCAGTCGCTTAACCAACTGAGCCACCCAGATTTTTCATATGGTGAAATATATTGATTAATTTATAAATGTTAAACCAAACTGGCATTCCTTAGGTAAACCTTACTTGATCATGATATATCCCTTTTATATATGGTTGACATTTATTTACTAATTTTCCAAAAACTATTTTTTGCCTGTAGGCTTATTAAGGATATTGGTGTGTAGTTTTCTTTCTTTTTTTTTTTTTTTTTGGTAATGTCTTGGTCTGATTCTATTATAATGGTAATGTGACTTTATAGAATGAGTTGGGAAGTATTCCTCACTCTTCAATTTTCTGGAAGAGTTTGTGTTGAATTGGTATTATTTCTTCCTTAAAGCATTGATAGAATTAATCAGTGACAACATCTGGGCTTTCTTCATGGGAAATTTATTTAGTAAAATTCAATGTCATATGTATGCAAATATGTGTGTGTGTGTATATATATATATATACACACACACACATTTGTCTGTGTAGGCATGCATATACATATATATTTATAGATTATCTATTTCTTCTTAAAGTTTTAGTAGTTTGTGTCCTTCAAGAACTTCTTCTATTTTGTTTCAATTATGGAATTTATAGGCATAAAGTTTCTCATAACAACCCTTTAATGTCTTTTTAATATCTGCAGAATCCATAGTGGTGTTCCTGCTTCCATTCTTGATATTGGTATATTGGTAACTTGTGTCTATTCTCCCTCTCTTCCTCTTTTCCTCCCTCCATTTAATCAATCTGGCTGTAGGATTACCAATTTTATGCATCTTTCAACAAATTCGGTTTTGTTTCTTTGGTTTTCTCTATTGATTTTGTTTTCTATTTCATTAGTTTCTGTTTTGATCTTTTAATTTCTTCTGTGCACTTTAGTTTAGTTAGCTTTTCTTTTTCTAATTTCCTAAAGTAGAAGCTGAGATCACTGATTTGAGACATTCCTTCTCTAACAGGTGTTTAATGCTATACATTTCCTCCCCAATACTTCTTTTTTTTGACAGGAAGTAGGATTTATTGGTGGGCATGACTAGGGAGGGGGCAGTGCTGAGGTTCTCATGAGTGCAGAGCCCTCCATTTGTCCAAGGGACCATGATTAGGGATGTATTTGACCCCACAGCCATCTGGGATAAGCCGCTTTTCAGCCACCATGTCTTCAAATTCATCTGCATTAAACTTAGTAAAGCCCCACTTCTTGGAGATGTGGATCTTCTGGCAGCCAGGGAACTTGAACTTGGCCCTGTGTAGGGCCTCAATCACATGCTCCTTGTTCTGCAGCATGGTACAGATGGACATGATGACTTGGCCAATGTGGACCCTGGCTACTTTGCCCTGGGGCTTTCCAAAGGCACCCCGCATACCTGTCTGCCACCTAGATTGGAGATAGCATGAGGTCAGACCTCAATGTCCACTGGAAAGGGCTGTCTCCAAGGTCCCTTAAGGCAACCCATACAATCAACAGGCTGCATACACTACCAAGGAGGCTACTGTTTGCAGCCATGGCACACTGGGCCCCCATGGATCCTCCTAAGTACTGTTTTAGTGGCATCCCAGAAACTCTGTTATATTGTGTTTTCATTGCAATTTATTATAAAATGTTTTCTAATTCTATTATTTCATCTTTAACCCATGTGTTATTTAGAAGTGTGTTATTTATTACCAAATATTTGGGGATTTTCCAGATGTGTTACTCTTGTTGTTTTCTCATTTGATTGTATTCAAAGAATACACTCTTTATAATTTTAATCCTTTAAACTTGTTTTATTATCCATAATAATCTATCTCAGTAAATTTTCCATGTGCACTGGAGGAGTGTGCATTCTACTAAAGTTGGATGGAGTGTTACAGCAATGACCATTAGGTTAGTGTGTTCAAATATTCTATATTGTTACTGATCTTGTCTATTTATTCTATCTTATATTGAAAGGAAGGTATTGAAATTTCTACCTGTAATACTGTATTTGTCTATTTCTTCTTTCAGTTCTATCAATTTTTTCTTTATGTATTTCAAAAATCTGTTATAGATTCATAAAGATTTAGAATTATTATGCCTTTTTGATAAATAGATAGCTTTATCATTATGAAATGACCTTCTTTATTCCTGGTAATATCATTTGCCCTGACATATACTTGGTCTGATATTAGTATGGCTGTTGCAGCTTCATTTTGAAGAATATTAACATAGCATCTCTTTTGTATATTTATATTTAAAGTGATTTTATTATAGGCAACTTTGTGTTGGGTCTTCTAATCTGACAATCTCTTTTTCATTGGAATGTCTTGACCTGTTCTATTTAATATGATCATTGGTATATTAAAGTCTATCATCTCCTATTTTGTTTTTGTTCTTTCTGTTCTTTCTTCCATTTTCCTGCCTTTTCTGCCTTTTAGACTCAGTATTTTTTAGTGATTTCATTTTGTCTTCTTTGTTGGATCATTAGTTATACCTCTTCTTTTATTGATTGTATTGAGGTTTATAGTATACATCTTTAACTTACCACATTCCACTTTAAGTGATTTTTATATCACTACATGTACACATAAGTTGACAATAGTTTACTTCCATTTCTACTTCCTAGTCTTTTACCATTTTTTTCATTTATTTTACTAATACATGTTATAAAACACACATAATTTTGCTTAAATGGTGAATTGTCTTTTGAAGAAATTTAAATTATAAGCAAAAATCCTTATTTTTTATCCATGTAGTTACCTTTCTTGGTGATCCTCATTCCTTTAGATGTATATTTTCATCTGGTGTCAGTTTTCATCTGCCTGACACATTTCAGTTTATTGTAGTGTAAGTCTCAAAATTATTTTTTCAGCTTTTGTATGTCTGAGCTACTTTTTTTGCATTTATTTTGAAAAATAAGTTCACTGAATATTAAATTCTAGGTTGTCTGTCTTTTCTTTTACATTCTTAAGATGTCCCTCCACTGTTTGAGTTTTTCCAATGAGAAATCTGCTGTCTTCCTTATTTTTGTTTGTATACATATCTATTTTCCTTTGGCTGCTTTTAAGATTTTTTCCTTTTATAATGGGTTTTAGGCAATTTCATTATGAAATGTGTTGATGTGATTTTCTTCACTTTTTTTGTGCTTAAAGCTCATTTAGCTTCTTGGAATATGGGTGTTTAATTTTCATGAAATTTGAAAAAAGTGGCCATCATTTCTTTAATTTTTTTTGTTTGTTCATTCTTTTTTCACTACTGCAGGGATCCAGTTGCATATTTAAAAGGTTGCTTGAAGTTGTTCCGGAGCTCACTTGGTGTGCTTTGCATTCTTTTTAAAAAGTATATTTTCTTATTTATTTATTTATTTATTTATTTATTTATTTATTTATTTATTGTTTATTTTTGAGAGAGAAAGAGTGTGCGTGTGCACAAGTGGCAGGGGGGTGATTTGTAGGGGAAGAAAGAATCTTAAGCAGGCTGCACACTCAGCACAGAGCCCAACACAGGACTTGATCCCATGACCATGAGATCATGAGGTGATCTGAAATCAAGAGTTGGATGAGCAATTGATTGAGCCACCCAGGCACCCCATATTTTCTGTTTTAAATTTTGGATAGTTTCTATTGCTTTCTTCAATACCCTAAATTTTCATTTCAGACATTGTAGTTTTCATCTCTACAAGTTTGATGTGAGGTTTTTCATATCTTCAATATTTCTACTTAACTTTTTAGATACATGTATTCAAGGCAAAATAACTGTTTATTCCTTGGGTCTGCTAATTCTAACATTTATGTCAGTTTGAAGCCAGTTTTGATTGATTGATTATTCTCCTCAGTATGGATCATATCTGTCTGCTTCATTGCATGTCTCCAAATCTTTGCTTGGGTGTCAGACCTTGTGGATTTTACTTTCTGAGTTTTCTTATTCCTATAAATAGTCTTAAGCTTCATTCTTGTATGCAGTTAAGTTACTTAGAAATAGATCCTTTATGGTCTTGCTTTTATGACTTGTTAGGTGGCTCCAGAAAAGTACCCAGCATAGGGCTAATTATCCATCACTACTAAGCCAAGACTTTTCTGAGTACTCTACCCAATGGTACATGAATTATGAGTTTTCCTGGCATGGATCTGTGGAACGTAATTTTCCTGGCCTGTGTGAATATTGTGCACTGTTTGCTGTAATTCTTTTGAATGGTTTTCACTGCCTCTGGCAGTCTGCTCAAATACAAACACTGACCAGTACTCTGGGGAATATTCAGCTGAGATCTTCTGCATGACTTGGGCGGGGGGGTTATCTGTGCTGGTCCCTCCTTTGTGGTGTTGTCCTATGAACTCTAGGCTGCTTTTTCTCTCTGGACCTCCACTTCCTCAGGCCAGGTTCTGCCTGTGTTCTTCTTCTCTGAACCACAGCTTGGAAATTCTCTCATGACATTAAGCTAGGACATTTGTAGGAGTTACCTCAGATGTTTTCTATCTCTCAGGGATCACTCTCTTTGGTTGTCTGATGCCCAGCACCTTGATTTGATATTGTTGTTGTTTCCTACAAGAGGGCAAATCTAGTCTTTGTTACTCTGATTTGAAACTGAAGTCCCAGCTGATCTTACTAAGGGAGATGGGCCATGGGAAGATTAAGAAATCTATATATAGTTCTTCTGCAGAAAATCCAGCTTATGGTAAAATATTGAATCAAAGTTTCTTTCTACATACACATACAAATGTATATCTCTTAATTTAAACTACATTATCTACCCTTGGGAAGTATCGATTTTAATGAGCACGAAATTCAATTCTAAATACTGTTCACTTAAAAAATAAGAAAAAAAAAAAACCCTGGATACTGTAAGAGTGTCTGTCATTTAATAGGGAGTGATGACTTTATAGAAATATATACCTCAAATACAGCCTCTACAATCCTTTTATATTGGAACTATTCTTAGATCAAAGAATTTTCTGACCTCATCCCACTAAGAAAAAGTTTCAACTTTACCTGTCAAATACTTTTTTTTTTTAAGATCAAAAGTATAGTATAACTAGTAGAATATTGAGTCAGGTGAAATGATAAACTCTCTCATGAAATAATTTAATATGGTTGGCTTAGGAAATGTTACCTTCCCACATGAGAGTTAATTTAGGAGGTGTTCATGAATGCGGGTAATGCAGAAACATCTGCAAGATTAATTATCTCTGAAAAAGTTCTCAAAAGAAATCTTGATATAGTTAAATTCACACCTAGATTTTTAATTTCATGTAAAGACAGAATGCTTGTTTAAAAATAATCCTTACTATGGAAACTAATATCAAGTAAATAACTGGTTTCACTGTAATATCTTTGAACACTGTATCTTTTCAAACTTAAAAGGATTATTATAGGGGCACCTGGCTGGCTCAGTCGGTTAAATGTCCAGCTTTTGGTTTTGGCTCGCTGTGATCTCAGGGTCCTGAGATTGGGCTTTGTGCTCAGCACAGAGTCTGTTTGGGACTTTCTCTACCTCTCCTTCTGCCCCTTCCCCCCCAAAATAAATAAATAATTAAAAAAAAAAGACATTATAGGGGTGCCTGTGTGGCTCAGTCACTTAAGTGTCTGCCTTCAGCTCAGGTCATGATCCCAGGGTCCTGGATCAAGTCCGGCGTCGGGTTCCCTGCTCAGCGGGGAGCCTGCTTCACCCTCTGCCTGCCACTCCCCTTGTTATGCTCTCTCTCTCTCTCTCTAGCAAATAAATAAATAAAATTTTTTTAAAAAGAAATTCTTGAAAATAGGATACATTTCTAGAAAAGAAGGAAACATTTGAATGAAAAATAGATGGAAGCAAATAGTAGAAGAATCAAATTAGAAAGAAACTTCAATAGCTTAAGGGACTCAGTGTCACGAAAATTTTGTATTAAAAAAAAGGGATTCCAATAAAATTGTTTTAAGGATCAAATAGTCTAAGGAAAATGACCTTAAAGTGAGAAAAATAAATTCTTAAAATCTGGGTCATTTACCTGAGATTTCTTGTATTTCCTGCAGTTTTGTGCTTTGAACTTTTTGATGGGTCACCTAGGGACAGTCACTTTTTTTCACTGAAGATCAAGTTATCAGCAAAGAACAAAATGGTAATTAAAAATTTCTAGTTCAGTACCAGGCACACATTGTTCTTTTAATGAATCAGATTATCTCAACTTTGTAAGGATTAATTAGGCACTTGTAGCAATTCCTTTAAATTTCTCAGAACACTATGCTACCTGATAACTAAGCAGCAGCCTTGTAAACTCGGAGTTAACAGAAGCTCAGAAAGTTCATTACACTTAATACACCAGAAGAGTCAGAAGTTTTTTATTATGATATTCTTAAAATATTATCATATATTTTCATTTAATATTAAGGTTTGTGTAAGCACTAAATACCATTAGAAGAAGGGGTAAAGTTAATATTGCAATATTTTTCTTTTAGAAAAAAATTTAAATTATTGAAAAATATGTGTAACAATAGTTTTTGAAACCTGCATATATTTTCTCTACAAAATCAACAAATATTAAGATTTTAGAAATATAGATATTATAGGTTTAAGAAGAATTATTTTGGAAAAACTTCAGATTTATAGGAAAATGGCAAAGATGGTAT